CAAGATGTAACGGACACGCACCGAGGAGACTGCCGAGTAAAATGGCACGCCAAGCATAACCTCGAGTGAAACCTCAGTGGGGGATGTCGAGTGAAGCGACGGATAATGATATGATGAAGATCGTATGAGGACGAGATGAAAGCTTATGGCCAGCTATACAGCCAGCTAGAGAGGACTTCAGACAACATGGAAAAATGGTGATGTGTTCTTGAATTTCTATGTTCCTCCTGGAACCCAAGGGAATGACAAATATGCACATAAGTGAACATAATACAGATTTCTCGAAACTGAAAATTTAGATTTTACCGCCTTCTAATCCTAGAGAACGTGAGTTTTGAGACAGTTAGGAGCAAAGTCCATTACTAATTATACTCAGTATATACTGTGCCGAAAGTGACAAGTGATTGACCAAGTCCCAGTCTCCCTTCACCTGTTAAGATGTTATATCAGTAAGAGAAAATACGGCTCAAAGCACAATTTGTCCCTTAATAGACATCTTCTAATCTCATATTTATTCATAAGGAACTATGTAGTAGGGATCTGCAAATTATTAGTTTGAAACCAAGCCTTCGCACTATATAATTCGAATGAATGAAATTTAGTGAGGAAACATGGAACAATAATTTAAAAATGTAATTTCTATGTGTGCAAGAAATCGTGGGTTACGATTTGTAGTTCTCCCACCCCCCCCTCATATAAATCACTGCAATGAAGACAAATCCTGTAGACAAAACTCTCCTCCTTGATTCCTCTGCTAACCAACATCAATAAGATAAATGATGAGATGGTCTTTAAACATCTTTGGAGCATCAGTACTGGAGGCCAGTACATCAATACAGATTCAGCTTTCAATCAAAATGTAAATCGATAGACGGGAAACAGAAGAGAAGTTGAATAAATAATGACTTATACTTGCCACAAAAGACGTGATCCTAGTAGCTCAGAGGCCCTGGAGTTTGAAATGACTGATACTGGGTTCTAGTGTCAGTGGAAACACCACCACTCACTAAGGATCCAGAAAATTTGTCACAAACAGGATGAAATGCTCAAACCTAGATAGCACCGCTAGCCATCAACGACGTAGACTATATCTTGGTGTGAATAGAATTAGGTGAATTAGTTTAATAAAACAATACGCTCGTTTATTAAGTAATAACTGAATTTATTATGCAACTGATCCAGTGAGCGAAAATCAAACTTCATCCTACTAGATTTTACTCTCTCTCTCTCTCTCTCTCTTTGTAATTGTGGTCAATAAACTATGACATCTTGGCATTAGACAAGAATTTTATTAAAATCTTTAAACAGTCAAGCACATGCGCGAACATGCGCACACAAACATACACACGCTAATGAATATACAGACATGCTGGGAATTAGACAACCATAAAAAACTATATATATAACAACTATTTTCCCAAGAAATCAGAGTAGTTTTCAAAGTGACAAGACTTAAAAAATTCAATTTTAAACAGTCATTGTAGCTCTCTTTCACTTTCTTCTACGTGAAATTCAGTATGATATTACTCAGGCACACACACGCACACAGAAAGCGAATAACTCCCTACCATTCATTAACTACGTACGTATATGTCACAGGTTTTGTATCTGAGCTGATCAAATATCAAATTGTGTATCAATTCTTGTTGTTTTTTTTCTTATCAGACTGATTATGTAACAGAAATATGCAAAAATTCTGAAGATTCATCTGTTTTTGATAGATTGTAAGAATATGCCTTGGGTAATTTTCCCAGTATTCTGTATTTTGCAGAGAAAAAATTGCACTTATTCATTCATATTTATCATTTTATTTCATTTAAAAACAAAAAATCATTGAAAATTGATCAAATTTACTTCGCGCTAATTTTGAAATATCAAATTTTATTAATTAAATAAAAAAACAGAAATGTAATTCTAATTCAGTATATCTAGAAGCCGTTAATCAATTAAGCGCTGAAAGTGTTGCAACAATGTGGGATTTTTCACGGATTTATGTTATTCTGTCAACGTTTCTTAATCTCGGTATATATCCGTGTAAGTTCATTGCTTCCTTTAAATGTTTTGCACTCAGTAAAATAAGATCATTTTTAATGGTAACGAATGAAATGTAACGATGAACCGGGATTCATTAATCAATCTCTCTGTCTCCATCTACCCATGCATGCAGTGCTATGGTTGAGTTTTTTCCTAAATTACTTATCACTGTTGGATCAATCATTCTGACCTTGGCCACTGAACTTCTTATGTTCTGATAATCTCACTACTCCTGATCCACTACTAGTTTTGACCTGTGTAGTTGACTTCGATCACAGCCATTGCAAGCTATTTTATATATTATACTATCTTGTTTAATTGGGTCCACCGGGTCCTTTAGCCTACAGAGCTTATCCTACCTGAGTGAGTTTGTAAGTTTGAATGCCACCCTAATTCCTGCTTTATTAAGAATACTATGAAGAACCTTAGATATCCCCTCCTTGTTCGGTAAAACTCCATCCAGTCTGGCAGTGAAGAGAAGTTCAGTCGTCTTAACTTTCGGTGGCTAAGCATTAAGACTTTTGGGGAGTGGATGGGGGAGAGCGGTACTTGAAACAGTTCTTTTCCAACAGCTTTCAAAATTCTACAGTGTCAACTTAAAGATAATTCTCGCTAACATGTAGGAAATGGAATCTTGAGATTGAAATTGTATGGCTATATTCAGACGAGTAAAAATTAACTGGTGGTTCTTATTTAATTATTATTATTATTGTACTCCTTTAGTTTCCCAGTGGAACGAAGGGCTTCAAGCTAGAAACTTGAGGTTGCTAGCCTCATGTCCAACCTTCCCTTTTAACCAGCCTTATTACTGTCTTATGGAAGCAAAGAAGTGCGCCTGTGATCGGGGATTGAACTCCGGACCACCTACTTAGATGGCCAGCATTCTACTGGTGTACCATCGATACTTAGGGCTTAGAAGTGTGATTCTAGAAGATGAGTAATACAAAAATCGCATAAGGATAACTAACCAGGGTACGGTGAAATTACATTTTATTTTCACCTGATCCCTCTACAGAAAAGTGATTACTTCTGAAAATACGTATGCGTTGACTTAGAACTTGACTTCTTAAAAGCCACACTCACAGAAAACGGTTACCCTAACCGATTTATTCACAGCAACATGAGAGATAAGCAGTCTAAACTGGTCACCGACTCAGTTCCGAAGAAAACCTTATTCATAAACTTGGTACTCAAAGGTGATCAAGCTTCAGATATGCTCAAAAATCGTCTCTCTAAATCATTCAGTAAGACGTTCTTTGCACCAAAATTACAAATGACGTTCACGAGCCTCAAATTTTTCTCTGCCTCTGTAGAAGATAAGCTCCCCTGTCTGGCCGCCTCCATGTGCATCTATCAGTTCACCTGCTCATGTGGATACGAGAACATATTCCATCAGCTTGGTTTTACAAGGAAGAGAAAAGAAGTGTGTGAGAAGCTCTATTCTGGAACACCTGGTCGACTTCTGTCACTCGGTCAACCCTGACCATGATTTCAAGATCATATATAGAATCTATGCTAACTTCCCACGTTTTCTTCATTACAGATTTCTAAAGACAGCTGAGGTCCTGGCAATTCATGACTTTAAGCCAGAGTTTTGTGTACAAAAGAATTATGTACAATCCCCACTTTTGCCTTGGACGTAGAGACATAGAAATTTATTTATTTTGTTTATTTAGTTATTCTATGTACCTTTCTCTTAATACTTCGATCATTATTATCATTATTATTATTCCTATTCTCACTCTGAATCTTTTCCACTTTTTTTTTTGATTTACAGCTTGATTCCACACTGTATTTTTGGTACAAGTATGACCTACTTGTTATTCTAAACCCAAAATTATTAGACATTTGTAAAAAATTATATTCGTAAAATCTCAGCGATATTGAAATGAGTAATTCCAACGTTTCGTTCGGACCAGATTGCCGAACGAAACGTTGGAATTACTCATTTCAATATCGCTGAGATTTTACAAATATAATTTTTTACAAATGTCTACTTCTCACTCGGCGCCCAAATATTATAGAACTATTCTGCCAAAATTATTAATTTTTATATTTTTAATTTTTACAATATTGAATTCTATCTTATCAAATTTCACACCATGTTATGTAACATTTTATATTCGTCTACTAATCCTATAATCATGTACCCCTTTCCAAAATCTATACACCTTATGTATTATTCTGTATATGACATTAATTATTTTGCCACTTGACATTTAACCATGATTGTAATCACAAATAGTTTATTTGCATTTCATACTATTATTATTTTATGTATTCACACCTCTGACCTAATTCCCTCACCAGATATAATTTTTTAGAAAGAAAACATATATGTACGATTGTACAGCTTGATAATAAATTCGTTGAAAAGAGCCTCTTCGCTGAATATTGTGTTCTTAATGCTACAATGGGGATTATTAAATATGTATTTATCATGGATAGATGTAGCACTTGAGAAATGCGGAATTCCTGTCTTATTACTAGTGGACCTCAAGACCTACACTATCCTCACAAACTACGCCTAAATAAGTCATGAAGGCCGTATTTTATTTTGCACAAATCCAGGCCAAAAGAGAACTGTAAGACAGAACCTAACAGTGTCTTGGATAAGAAATATTAATGAATATACTAATGGATTTTTTGCATAATTATTAAGTCATTCATCGCTACTGTAGGGTTCAGAGAAAGTGCATCGTCAAAAACCCTTCTATCAGCCTGCTAACAACTTCCGTCAGTAGCTGTCTCCTCAGCTTCATATGACGATAACCGGTCAGCAAGCTTATTGGGCATTCGTGAAGTCAGCTGAAAATGATGTCATAAAATAGAATGCAGTGAAGATGAGACGCTGAGGCTTTAGCTTCTGCTTAGAAAGCAAGAAGCCAAAAGTAATAGCATTTCCCATGCTTATATTTTAATTAAACACATTAAATAATTTCAAAAAGAATTAATAGACAACATACCCTAGCAGCCCTTGATGTATGCGGTTTTTCTAGCAGATCCCATCCTTGTCTTTTCAAATTTGCATAACATCCAGATCCGAATTCATCAACAGTTGTTGACTGACGAAAACAAATCTCCTCTTTGCGAATCTCTTCTTCAATCATATCTTTTTGCTGATGATAACGATGTGAACAACACGCCTGGATAAGGCCTTCATTCACACCCCAATACAATAACTCAGCTTTAAAATCCATTACACAAATACTATCATTGTAATGAAGTGTTTTCGATCGATAAAAGTTTAGTATAGTTGAAAAAGTTGTTGGATTACGATCAAAAAAGTATTCCCTGCATACAGGATCATAGTCATCGCATAGATTTAATAGCTCTTCCATTGTTGTCGCTTGACGTATCCTTCCTAGGCGAGTGTTAGGATAACGATCAACAGTTTGCCAAAGAATCTCATGTCTAAATCCACCGACATTCAACAATGCACGTCTAGATCTGGAACTTGGTGTGGACAACACTGGCACAGGGGATAAATGCTGGTCTATCGGTTTACGACGGTGGCGATGATAATGAAAAATCTGCTTATTCCTACTATTCATATCGTAAGATTGTCTTGTAGACAGTCTACAGGGATATGCATCATCATTATCGTACTTTGTCTCCGGAAGATTGGAATTAGTCCGTAATAAAAATCGATCATTTATGTATGGGGAAGACACTGTTGAAAGCGATCTAACATAAGATGAATGGAAGATATCAGGATTCTGCACATTTTCTATTATATTACAAGAATTTTCATTACTCTGTGTGAATTTATTACCAATAGTCTGAGAAAACAACACTTTCGTGGAACCAAGTGAATCTTTGTGTGCATTATCATGAAGATGAGAATGATTCAAGGTATGACTCATCTCACAGATGGTTTTTCGTTTTCGATTTAATTTCAGAAAGAAACAAGATGGTTCTGAAAGTGAATTATGCTTGGCGTTTTTACTCCGTTTATCATTGTAAGAAGCTTTGTTGCCTACAGGAGTTTGACTTTTATGTTTTAAATCACTCAAGGTTGTGTTCAAAGTCAGTAGGTCTTGTTTTACTGATTCTGCCTTTCTGTTTGTTGTGGTCACATTTTGATTTGTGAACACATCTTTGCCACTGCCTCTTTCAGTAGGGTTTTTGTCTGTGCACTCCCCTGAGTTGGATAATGGACACTGCGGCAACCTGCCCTCCTCTTCACAAGATAAATAATACTCCGATTTTTCCCTTATCCCGCTTGTATCGGAAGATCGTCTTTCTTTGTTATTGCTGATGTCAAATGTTGTGTTATGAATATACAAACCATTCGAATGACCTCGATTCATTCTGTCATTACTCAAGCAAAGAAAATCATAAGACTTGAAGATTCTCTGTAATTTATACAAAAATTAAAATGATTTCGAAAGTTAAGCGTAATGCTTTTTGTCCATATGATTATGAGTAGTTATCAGTAAATTTATCATTTAGGTATCCAAAAAAAGCATTTGAAACTGACTGAAAGACAAAACTACACTGCTCACTTCTCTCTCTCTCTATCTCTCTGAGTGTCTCTCTATCTCCCTCTATCACATATCGATAGCCACCAACATCGCAGTATAGAGAAGATGGGGAGAAAGATGAAATCTCATAAGCGTGTAATATTTTGCTGAATTTCAGTCACCTGATTTCATAACAGTACATTTTGTACATTTTTTTTGCCCACGATATGTCAAATATAACCAATGAGATAAATTGAAACATCTTCTATTGTATTCTACTAACCAATCATCTTTCAGAATACCTGATTAGCTTGTTTTTCTTCTACCATAAAAAAAACATACTGAAAGGATGACTAACAAGAAAATATATTTTGTGAAAACAATTCACAGATCTGTGGAGATTTGGATGTGTTTCAATTGTTAGATTTATTCACGAAACATGAGCAGTTAGAAACCATCGAAAATCAGAGAGCACAAACTTGGACTCGTAACCTAGTGATAGCGGATTCGACATCTGGTAAGGTCATGAGTGTGTATTACTGAAAAGTCTTAAAACAGGATGAAACAGCTTTCCGTCGCTCTATAGTTTTTAATAATCTCTCTAGCTGTTGCTGGTTTGGAAGGAGCTCTAAGAAATGAACAATAATTTTCTTTAACTTTATATCATCAGGCGATACGATGTAACTTTAGGACCAAATTTTTTGAATAATGCTAACTAACAGATTCTATGACTTAAGCTTTTGTAATTTCGAAACATTTTGTAGAACACATTCATAAGCTAAGTACAATATGAAATCTTCAACATATTCATGCACAAAGAACTCAGGTCTTTCAAGGTCTGATGGGTTTCATATACGTGTCTTTAAGAACTCCCATCATTTGAGGGGACCATTTTAAACGACGGAACACTAATCATTCATCTTATCATAGAATGGAGCACTTCTGTAGTATAAGCCTTCAAATCTTACAAAGATTGGATCAAGAACCTTCAAGTTAAAAGCTGATCAAGCCCACCAATCAAGAACGTCTTCCCGTTCACAAAGTGACCACAAAACTATATATACAATAATATTAGTCAGACTGTGCTAAAGTATGAGCTGAATAGTGAAAATGATTTTCACTTGATACACAGTGCATCTGGCAATAGTATTTATGAACACCCGTCCACTCGACATACTTGTACAAGTATTAGCTTTGTAGTAATTACTGTTCTGTAGAAAATGAAATACCCTTGTAATTATGAAACAGTTAGAGGATTTCATCATGACTTGACATCATTTAAAGAACCATTAGAAAACCTGGGAGTACTGGACAGCCAACTGTTTCGTCAGGCTAGTTTTGGACTCTTCATCAGTACGCATCCACTTACAAGGTTCGAACCCAGGACCTACTGGTTACAAGGCTAGCCAGCTTGCAGACCATTATGCCTCTGGGACCCGATCCAATGACGACTTCATGAATTCTAACTTCTTCCAATTCATGACATAGCGCAACCACAAGCCAATGCCTTCGGTGAGTATTTTTCCTCACAGTCGACATGCTGTAACCTAGTGCTCACGGCTTTCCACTAGAAATCCTGATAACTGCCTGAATAGGGTCAGTTGCTAGTGATCATCAGATCCACTTTAAAGTATTGGTTTTTGCAGGTATTTTGTTTGATTGTTTGGAGGAATTCATCATGAGCTGACATCACTTAGAGTCTCAAACTGGGACGAAACAGCTGTCCAGTACTCCCTGCGGGTGTTTTCCAATAGTTCTCCAAGTGATGTTCGCTCACGATGAAATCCCCCAACTAATCAAACAAAATCCCTACATAACCGATAATTGAAAATTTTGAAATAGCTGATAAAAATACATAGAAGAATTCCCTATGAGACAGTTGGTCTTGGGTTTTGTGTGACAGAAATAATGGAGAAGATCATGTATCTAGGAAATAAAAGACTTTAGGCACGGATGAATCTAGTTTAAAATGGTGGCAGAAAGACGAATACGGTGGTGATATCACTGAAGAAGCATTATGTACCACTCAGAACCCTAAGTAACGGATGTTAATAATAACACTAACAATCTTTTCAATGATAATAGTAATGATCATAATAATAGCGTAATCGTGAGTCAACGTCATCTTCGAATGTTTGTTCACGCACTCGACTTTGTGTCTCTCACTTCTCTTGTAGTCAATCACGAGGGATCATTGCAGTCGTTAAAGTGGTTGCATGGGAAGCCAAGGGTCTTGGCTTCGATTCCCGATGCAGTTATATATGCCCACTGGTAAAGAGTCTGAAACTTTGAGAAAATAGCCTCCCGGTACTCTTTGGTTTCTAGCAATTCTTTAAATGATGTCAGTTCGTGTTACAACTTGAAATCAATCAATAAATTCCCGCATACACACACCTGACAAATGGATTTAAAAACAACAATACTCCATTTAATACAAAGTGAAGTGTAATAATGTGGAGGAATGATTGTAATATACGTACTACTGTGATGAGAGCTGTCTACGAGCGAAAACTGTAGACAACAATTTACGTCACTGTTTACAGTATGGTTCGGGGGTATGAGAAGAAACAGTAACAAAGCTTTAACAAAACTTAACCTTGGGAAACTTACCAGCCAATCACAGCAGACTTCACGTGTCCATGTGCGATTGTCAGATATCTGGCTTAAATATCTAAGAAACGGCCACAATGAGATAACAGAATAACCTTCAATAAGAAAACAACCAATGAGAAGAGGTTGCTTCCCACTAACAACAACGCAAATAATAATGTACATAAAAATCTATAAATATCTCTTGATTTTCTCAATAAACAGTCTGTTGCCTGGCCCTTGTCAGCTGTCGTTACACTACAATCTCGAACATCGAAGACAATATCTTGTCATTTGTGCAAAGTCATTCTGAATATAAGTGTGCTTTGTCTTTCGTCATGCTGTCGAAAAATTCAGACAAATTTAACTGGTTCCACGTAACTCTTACTCAGAAATTTACCTTTTTACTTACTGGTGAACATGTACAAACTTGGCTCAGAAAAGGAATAACTAAGGCAATCATTAGCTCTAAGTTATCTCGTTCAGTGGATAGCAAATTCCACACTGAGAGAGAGCCTTTATGGTCATACCTCATGTTCCTAACAGTAGATAAATACTGTCAGTAAAAATTGTAAGCATTGTGGAAAAAATCACATAAAAGTATAATTAAATTTCAATGGTTTACACACGTCGATGGGTGTTTTTAATAGTGAGTTTGCTCAAATTATTGCCAATAACAAAGCTTATCATTGTGTAAACCATTGAAATATAATTATACTTTAGTAGATAATTACGTCTTTTATTCATAACTAAAACTATAGATATCAGTAGGAAGAAACTGAACCTACGCATGCATAAACTGTCCACTCAACCTCCATGTTTGCTTCAGCTCACCATAGCTCATTACGGATGTAATTATCTCATAATTTCATGTCTTATTACACCCTTCTAAAGCATAAAAATCATCTATGTGCTCATCTAACTCACCTTCACCTATCTTAAAGCATACTAATATTAGTATCATCTGTCATCCTATGATTTTACGCTGAGCTTGGAGCATTAATGTTAGGGGTAGATGCAATATAAACAGTTTGACAAGTTATTAATAATACTTTGCTTTATTTCAAAACAGTTTTTGTGATACAGAATAGAATTCTCAACATTTCACTACACTATTGCATCCAGTTAGTATATTATCAATAAATAAAATTCTACATAGATTATGGGTAATCTCAGTTAATTTTGACAACAACATATTAGAATATTGGCAGCAAAGCCAAAAGTAAAGAGAATGTTTGAAGGTGTTAGAAAAGTAGATACTAGCATATTTACTGGCGTAAGCGGTAACAAAACAGTCGAGATGCACAGAGTGTGAAAGAACGAAGAAGAATGTTTTAAGTAAAGTTTGTAAGGAAGACAGAAACAAAACAGCTCATAACAAGAAAAGAGATAGAGGGGAAAGGAAAAGAAAAGAAGAAAACTTTCTACCTATAAATGATATGAGTTGGAAATATGGGATCCAATTGTTCTACTGACTATTTATTAGCTAAACGTTTCACACCTAATGCTTCCTTTATCGCATGGTTGAGCTGTTGTACTTGCTAGTGCGAGCAGATAGTTTCCTATAGAGGCTTCTGGTCCTGCCTGATCAGATAGATACAAGGGGAGGGTTGTGAATGAAGAGGGTGGTGTGAGTTAGATAAAATGGATTTAGCTCATTTCTCACATGAGTCCAAGTGCCTGTCAACCAGAATATTAACAAGCTGGTTAAGTGGTACGTTGCTCACCCTGCTGACAACCTTTAACATCCTACGTAATAAGATATAGTCCTTCTTCAGTAGCCCTGAAATAACTAAGGGGGAACAATAGAGAATAATAGGCAGAATGCAAGAGTTAAGAAATCTTAAGAGCAAGGGTTGGGTTGTTCCAGAATGTCTTAACTTCTTGATGTAGAATGTAAGACGGAATATTTTCTTAGAAATCATCAAGATATGAGATGACCAAGAAAGATCTGCGGATAGAATGACGCAAAGATATTTTATTTCTGACTTGGTTTCTATTTCAGTGCCATCAATGCTGCACACCTCGTGAGTGCTAACCAGTTTGTTTAGGTCAGATTTATGCCTAAAGTTGGAATTTACTGTTTGGCTTTTGGAGGAGTTTATGGTAAGACCGTTTTCCTTGGACCACTGACTGATTTCTGATAAAAAGCCATTTAGTTTAGAGCAGTCGCTTTGATATTTGACAGGCAAAGATACAGTCAGATCTTCAGCATATTTAAGAAAATTAACGTAATTTAAAGATGGTAAGTCATGTAGAAAGAAACAAAAGAGAAGTTGGGAGAGTACAGCAGTAACATTTTCGCTATCAGACATCATAAAATTCAGTATTTAGAAGTGGAAGACAGAAAGAAATTACAATGTGGTGAGTTTGATGTCTAATAAAATCATGCGGGGTGTTACCGTCACTAGAACTCAAAGAATCAAAAACCAAGTCAAATATGAAAGCTAGAGACAAAAAGTGTGAAACAAACAAAGTGATGCGAATTAGAAAACAAAGATCTACTAGCGTCAAAGTTATCGGAGTAATTCAAGTTCAATGACGGACTATCTTTGAACA